GGTCTGGGGAATGGAAAGACAAAAAGAAGAAGAATGAAAAACTGAAGCAACGGTGAGTGCGACCACTGTGTTGGTCACTCAGCTCATTTCCTTCACTGCCTGCAAGCTTGCTCACACCCATCCCCAACTGGCACCCTATAGGTGTCACTGTGGGCATGAAGCTGCTCAGGAGCAGTGCTGCCTCCCCCAGGTCTCCAGGCCTTAGGTGGGGTTTGCCACTGCAGCTACACCTGCAGTTTTCTCCTGGAGAAAATAAGCGTTGTGGGGTGATCTACACGGCCAGAGGTCTCCTCTTTGGCACTACTTTAGAGGATGAGGGCAGTCACCTTCAGGGAACTTGTACTCCGCAGTGATGTCCTCGCGCTTGTCCTGCCCCACGGCTTTTGTGCTTATGTTAATGCCGATGTTTTGGGTCTCCGTGAACTTATTCTTGCCATTCACCTTCCTGACGAGCCAGTACACTTTGTCAGCATTCACTTCGGCATACACAAACTTGCTGTCGAAGGGCAAATACACATCCCCTTCTCGGACAGCCTTCACCGGGCATGGACCACACTGGAAAATACCTAGAAAGTGCATTCAACACCGTTTGCTTTTCCAAATATGAGCAGAGCCTCCAATTTTTGTTCCACCCTCAGACCCACCCAAGTAGGAATCTGTGGCCATGGTAGCTGTCCCTTAGTAGTAACTATTGCTCCGACTCAGTGATGAACTCCAGAAGCCCCCATTTATCCCATAGCTGTTTGGGCTTTCTTGACAGATGACCAAGGTCTGTTAAGAGCTTTTATCTGTTTCCCCTCACATGAATAACTTTAAGGTTTGAAAGGCATGGCTTGGTGATGGAGTGAACTGAGTCCAACCACCTGTGTTTGATCTCCTGGCAATACCCCATTTTCTGCACAGCCTTGAGGATTAATGTTTTCTTTCCTGCCTCTGAATTCCCTACATCTGGGCAGGGAGGGTAGTCACCAATTTTGGCAGTCCCTCCTCTCATTTACCAAAGAACGGACTCACGACTTCCTCAGGAAAGCTCTACAGAAAGTGTCTTTACTGGGGAAAGCTGTGGCACCTCTCACTACAGACTGTTTTGAGTCCTCAACTTCACCAAAGAAATCAGAGGATGGTGGAAAGAGAAATCAGCTCTGATTTCCAGCTGTGTGCTCTAACCCCTGAAATGACATTCATGTCCCCACAGCATCCTGCAAGGTTGATTTTCTGCCTGCTGAGAGATGCCATTCCTCCCTTCCCATGCTAGGATGGCAGGAGTGAGACCTGTGGCTTTAGGATGTCACTGCCCAAATGTGTGAAGATGTGCATCAGGAGGACCTGCTTTGCTGACTGGGGATCATGGTTTTCATATGAAATGTCTCTGCCTTCCTCAGGAGTTGCAGAAGGGACTTTCTAGGCAAATCCTACCTTGACTTTGCTCCTGGGGTGTTGAATCGATTGCCTGCCAGCCATCAAAACCAGCCGGCAGGTCTGTCCGCTTCATCCAGACATCGTTCCACACATGGAAGTTCCTGCGTGCATTTGGGTAGGAAGGAAAAGGAGTGAGTTTTACAGCCAGAACAGTTGCAATCTCCTCCCTTATTTCTTAAATAATGGCTGGTTTAATGAGGATTTGCATGTAACCCTGTGAAACCCCAGGCTTTCTCAGTCTCTCCCAGACAGCAAACCCAAAGTAGTAGGGAAGATCTCAAAGGAATTGCTGGGACTGGGAAACATGGCGCTGCAGGGCAGAATGGGAGGTGGGAAGCGATAGCCTCCTTTAGCAGTACCAGACAGAGTCGAAGGACATTGAGCTCAGCTTGTCTCCGTTTTCGTTCACGTAAGTGTCAACTGTCAGGTTATCGTCCGTATCGTGAGCCGAGTTGAAGTTACTCACGCAGCGGCATGGGATCCCCAAGCAGCGCATGACTGTGGCACAGACAGACAAAACACAGGGTCACAAAATCTCTCAGGTTGGTGAGTGCCCCTGGGGATCATCTTGTCCGCCCCTCTGCCTACCCAGGGTCCTCTAGAGCAGGTTGCCCAGGACCATGTCCAGACGGTGTTTGAGTATCTCCAAGGATGGAGACTCCACCACCTCTCTGGGCAACCTGTGCCAGTGCTGGGTCACCCTCACAGTGAAAAAAGCTTTTTTCCCACGCTCAGACAGAACCTCCCGTGTTTCTGGTTGTGCCCATCGCCTCTGATGCTGTCACTGGGCATCACTGAGAAGAGCCTGCCTCTGTCTGCCCCACTCCCTCCTTTCAGGTATTTATAAACATTGATGAGATCCCCCTGAGCCTTCTCTTCTCTGGGCTGAGCAGTCCCGGCTCCCTCAGCCTCTACCTACATGACAGACCCTGCCACCTCTGGCGTTCAGAGGCACGGTAATTTGGCTTCCTAGCACAGTAATTAGGATGTCAGAGGAGGGAGGCAGTTCACTGTTTACCTGCAGTGAGGACTCCTGCGAAGACCCAACATTGACCATAACAAACTGGCTTCTTCGTTTTGTAATACTGCTGCAAAATTTTGACACTCCCTGTCCAATCCATAGGGGGGGTCCCATTGCTGTAATTCCCTGACCAGTTCCCCAGCAGGACACCGCTGTCATCGTTGGCATTAACCTGCGGCCACACACATGTGCAAAGGAGAAAAATAGGGGGATGAGGCTGAATGAGGCCTAAACCCCAGAGTCTCTGCCCACTCTGTGGCTCCCCAGGTGCTCCCCAGCCCTGTGGCCCCCAGCAAGGCTGCTGGTGATGGCTGGGGTCTCCCCTAGTTGGAAAGCCTCCAGCTGGGTGTCTAGAGGGAGGTGGCACCGCTGCTCAGGACAGCCAAAATGCACTCTGCATCTTGTGCCATAAACCCCAGGGCTCCTAGAAGGATGCCACCACAGAGGAGAGTTGCTCCCTGGAACACAGCCCTTGTGTTGGCCCTGCCAGTGGAGCTGCTGGGGAAGGACAACCGCCAGGGCAGCTGCAGGCTTTGGAGATGGGGAGATGCTGTATTTCTGTCGCCTCTTCCCTCCACCCAAAATGTCTCTGGCTCTTTCCTTCAGCTTCCCAAAGGAACCCATTTCTGATGGATCCTGAAATGGTGTTCAAGGCCCCAGGGAAAGAATCACAGAATCACAGAATGTTAAGGGTTGGAAGGGACCTCAAAAGATCATCTAGTCCAACCCCCCTGCCAGAGCAGGACCACCTAGAGTAGGTCACACAGGAACGTGTCCAGGCGGGTTTTTAATGTATTCAGAGAAGAAGACTCCACAACCTCTCTGGGCAGCCTGTTCCCAGTGATCTGTCACCCTCATAGTGAAAAAGTTTTCATTATGTTAATATGGAACCTGCTATGCTCCAGCTTACACCCATTGGAGGGAAAGCTGGAGGGGCAAAGCACTTCTCCGAGAGAGGCGTACCAAAGCAGACATGGCTCTGGACACAAACACAGGATCCCTTCTATTGCTCAGCTTGAGTTTGCTTTTGTCCAGCAGATACATGCAGGTTTCCAAGATGAATTCCTCAAACTGTGTGGGAGAGAAAGTGGAGACGTTTTTATACACTGCTTTAAAACAGGATTTGCTCAATCACTACAAATTCTAAGTACTTGTCTGACTAGTCCTAACTTCTAAACTTCCTTTATCATATTGAATTCTCAAGCCTACGGGGCTTCCAAAAACTGTTTGCTCCAAAGAAGGGCATAAATGAAACTCCACCTCGGAAGACAAAATCCCATCACACGTATCTTGCAAGCACAGTTGGAACCTGACCCAGCAATCTTTAGTCCTGTGAGTAGTCCTAAGTCACCAATGTCATCTCCCTGCAGCCCTGCAAATTACTGACAAGAGTAACAAAAATTGAAGAGTGCTATAGATATTCAGTCTCTTGACATAGGTACAAAATGAACCCTGGGGAAAAAAAAAGCTACATAAATACAGATTATTACAGCAAAAGATTCCTAATTAGCAATTGCTGATAAAGCTCCCTGAGGTCCAATTCACAGAGATGTCAAACATCCGATCCAATAAAGCTTGGCGGAATTTCAGTATCGATTCTCATTGCTTAACAGCGGAATAAATATTGGAATAGGAACAGCCCTATGGACAATGCCCTTTGGCCCCTTCATGGAAAAGGCATCATCACGAGCACTTTTCTTGGCTACCTGTAGCCTGCAGCTTGAAATCGCAGACTTACAAAACAAAACAAAATCAAAACCAGGAAAACCGCGCCAGATTCCAACGTTTTTTTGGTGGGGAAGTCTGGTTAGGGTGCAGGATGCTGCGTTTGGGTGCCTGTGTTCTTTCTACGGGGTGCAAATAAACCTGCTCTGGCATCCACCTCTCATCTCTCGCCCAAGCACGTTTGTCGTTCCACTCCACTGGGCTTATCTCAGAGGCAGGGTGGAGGAGCACCCTTCCTGAGAGGGTGAGCTGATGGTGTCCTGCACCCAACAGTTCACCTCACAGTCGGTAAAGGCACCATCTAAATAATGGCAACTTCTGCCAGTGCTTTTCCCCTATTTTTTCCCAGTCATGACGCAACAGATAAAGAATCAGATTTTTTCCCCCCGTCATCCCTCTTCCTGGTCACAAGCTGCTTACTGACAGCTACTGTGTTGCGTGAAAGCGGAGAGGACTCTTTATGGGAATTTTTTCAGTCAGAAACGCTCTGTCCCCAATTTCCACGTCTTTTGGCAGGGGTCTCGTGATCTGACTATAAACACGCCATTAAACACTGTTCTCCAGCTATGGCTGAGGAAAACACTTAGGCACGCAGATTACTCTAAGCAGGTGAGCCCTCCGAGTAAAGCTGGCAGGATTATTCAAGCGCTTTGAGCTACTCACAGGCTTCAGCTGTTTATAGGTCTGATTCATTGAAATTAATGTCTAAGGGAGAAAGAGCAAGTGAGGGTAATAATGCCAACAAGACAGCTGCATGTTACCTGCCCGAAATTCCAGGGTCTATTGTATATGCTGTATGCAGACCCTACGTAGATGTAGCCTGTGTCATTGAGCACATACTCCTTTCTCTGTGCCTCATCAGCCAGGAAGACGACATCACCTGCAGCAAAAAAACCCTCAGATGGTAGGTGGTTGGCACACGCGCGATAAGAAGTTTTCCTTGGAAAGCTAAACTGGGGGAGCTGGTGGTCTGTCACGTTCACACCAAATGATGACCATGCAGCACTCACATTATTTTTTCCCATTGTGGAAGAATTTCTTGTGAGACTAAGCTTTCTTTTACTCCCCTAGGTCTACTGCTTTATGACCACTCCTTTTCTTTTTTTTAGCAAAATGCTTCTTTCTGAACAAACACTTTAGTGGACTAGGTAGACAGCAGAGAGAACTGGGGGACTGACACCAACCAACAACACACTTTTTTTATGTGAATATTTATTTATCTGTATTTTGGGCCATATTTAGTCCTCTCAGCTAAGTTTTGTGCTGTCCCAGGGAAACAGAGAGGGGTGACACAGCGGCGCAAACATAGGTGACACAGAAAAGCCCCTTAACCCAGAACTGGGGACTCCCCAGCGAGGAGCTGGCTTGTTGCTACTGCCCAGCTTCCCATTGGCTCCGTGAGGATGCTGCTTGCGGTGTTTTAGGGGGAGAAAGCAATGTATGTGGGAAAGGGAGAAGGAAAAATGTGAGGAAAAGCTCCCCCAGGGACAGTCCCTGGCAGCAGTAACTATCACCTCCCGTTGCAGGACCACTCACCTTCGCACCAAGGGTTGAACAAGAGGTAGATAGCACCATTTTCGGGCTTGTAAATGTTTCTCCTGGTCTTCACGTTCAGGGTGTACATTCCCACCGGCGCTCTGGGCGAGCTGGTGACAGACAGCAGGCACTGGGGAGGCAACAAGGAGACATGGCATGATGGAACCCCCACCGCGGCCAGAGCAAGGCACAAGCACGAAGCTACGGGACCAGCACGAGTGCCGAAGTTGGCGTCCACAGGGGTCCGTGCAGGGAGAGAGGGGAGGGCAGCGGGACGGGGCACGTCCTGCACGCGCAGTGCGGGAGCAATGAGTTAACCAGGGCAAAGCTGCTGCCCACCTAAGATTACAGGGCTGAGGGAAAGCAGGACAGGGCTACGAGGATTTGCTCCGTAGCTCCCGATGGGCCTGGCATTGCTGCCCTCCGTGCGGGAGCGCTGCCCACGGGCTCTACCTCTGTGCCGCTTTTCTTGACAATGGAGACTTGCCACCCGCTGAGATCCGGCTCCCCGCTTGGTTTCAGCGACAGCAGGGTCCCCCTGGTTTTCATTGGGTTTTGGCCTGGAAACAAACCCAACGGAAGATGTGGGAGGGCTCATGGCTCTGCATCGACCGTGCAGCGTCCGGCAGCAGGAGCAGGCAGCCAGAGGCTGCCGGGGCTCTCCCGCTTTGCCCAACGGCCGCGGAGGGGGGACCCGCTCACCGATTCCGAAACGCAGTGCCAGCTTGTCGGAGGCCTTCGGCTCCCTGCTGAAGCTGAGCTGCAGCTGGAAGGCCTACCCGCGCCGCACCGCCAGGTTCTGGATGCTGTATGCATCCGTGTGGTGCAGGGGGCCGTTCTGGCTCTTGAGAAAGTCAATCCCAGTGACCTTCAGATCTGTCCCTGCAAAGCAGTCAGCAGAAAGGGAGAAATAAAGAAGGAGGAAAAAAAAAAAAAAAAAGAGGTTGATGGTCAATTGCTCAGTAAAGACAGTTCTCTTCTTAATGCAGCCCTGTGAGCCATCAAAACATCTAAGTGTCCAGTGATCTGGCACAAGGAATCACATGGAGTATCACCACAGCTAATGGACGGTACAACAGGTTATTTGTAGTTATGTATACCTATTACAAATATGATATGATACATTACAAAATAATAGAAAGCAATATTGTATCATATCATATCATACAATACAATATAATATAATACAATACAATACAATATAATACAATACAACACAGTACATTAAAATAGATACTCAGAGGTTGAACATCCCTGAGACTCCCTGGGTGGCGAGGGAGGGAGGCAGAGGACTCCGCAGCAGCGCGGGGCTGAACAGTCGGAGGGTGAGGCGGGTGCTGGTC